TTGTTTTCCACTGCCGAATTGATCGATTCTATAAATAGGAGTGAACAGTAAAGATGAATTTTTATGAAAAATATATCGCCAAGCTGATTATTGTACACTTTTGTGGACATAACGATCGTTTCAATATTATATTATTGGACACGTAGTGGACATAACGATCGTTTCAATATTATGTTGTTGTTGTTCTTGTTGTTCTTGTTGTTGTTCTTGTTCTTTGACACGTTTTTAAAAAGTCGCTTTTCTCTTCGAATACTGGACCAATTGCTTTGAAATTTTCAGTGGTTGAAGATTAATTTTTTCGCTAGAAGGCTATTACTTTTGTTTATTCTTAAATTTTATATGAATCCTATGAGATATGATATTTCATACAAAATTTCGCGGTATTTATTTTTACTCATGGGAACACTGTTTTACACTTATTTCAAGCGGTTTCGCGATCGATTGTCTTGCTCAGTACTACAGCTACTGTAGGTCGGTACTGGTAAGTTGCCATACCGGTGCCGTAACGCAGTGAAATTGACTTATTCCTTCCGCGGTATTACTAATGCTGCAATGCAAGTTTTATAGCCTATCGTATGCGGGACGGAATATCAGACCTACAGGTTCGGTACCGGTACTGGTAGCTCAGTACGTAAGTACGATACTGGTACTGGTGCCGGTACTGGTGTCTTACCACAATGAAATTACCGTAACTTATTCTTTCACGGTCCTACCAGTGCAGTAATGCAAGCGTTGTAGCACTTGTAGCCTACTATATTTGTTTATTTTGATGAGAGTCTACTGAAAACAACATAAAATTTGAAAGGGAAGAATTGTTCTGTGATCAATTATCTGTCCTAAAGTGTAAATAACATAAAATTTGCAAGGGAACAACTGTTCTGTGATCAATTACCGTATATGGCCTACAGTGTACAGGTAAGATGCTGGCTGACTGCTAACCGGTACTGGTAGCTCAGTACGTAAGTACGATACTGGTACTGGTGCCGGTACCGGTGTCTTACCACAATGAAATTACCGTAACTTATTCTTTCACGGTCCTACCAGTGCAGTAATGCAAGCGTTGTAGCACTTGTAGCCTACTATATTTGTTTATTTTGATGAGAGTCTACTGGAAACAACATAAAATTTGAAAGGGAAGAATTGTTCTGTGATCAATTATCTGTCCTAAAGTGTACACAACATAAAATTTGCAAGGGAACAACTGTTCTGTGATCAATTACCGTATATGGCCTACAGTGTACAGGTAAGATGCTGCCTGACTGCTAACTCAGTACCGCTTGACACGTTTTTAAAAAGTCGCTTTTCTCTTCGAATACTGGACCAATTGCTTTGAAATTTTTAGTGGTTAAAGATAAAAATTTTCCTCAGAAGGTTATTACTTCTTTTTTCGCTATGACGTCATCAAAATTATGTGACTCTACGTGTCCATATATTTGAGCATAGCTCTCTTGTTATTTTTCTTTTGCTTGATCATTCATGATAAAATCGCTTTTCTCTTCGAATACTTGACTAATTGTTTTGAAATTTTCAGTGGTTAAAGATTAATTTTATCGCCAGAAGGCTATCACTTTTACTTATTTCAAAAATTTCTGTGGACTTCAAGAGATTCGTTTTTTATGTGTCAGAATAAAAATAGCGACACCTTGTGACGTGTCCATATATTTGAGCACAGCTCTCTTGTTATATTTAATTTAGGGTAGGGCGATAGGGTAAAGGAATATATTGGTTACCAAGGTAAGGTTTTTTTAATTTTTAGATATTGACTTCTGCAAGGATAACGGAATTAGGATTGTTACTTAACAGGATCATTTCTTCATTAAGTTATTATGACGCAATTGATGTCAATTCAAATTTATCGTGGAGTAGACATTAGCGAATTTTGTTGATGTAGACACCATTTATATTCAATAAGCTAGCCACTGAATTGATCATCACGAAACGACCTGAAAAACGGAAAATAAATCTGCGAGTAATAGAATATTCAAGGGTTACATATTAGGAAACAACACTACCCTACCTACACTTTTGTTGAGAAGAAATTATTATTTTGAGTAGATATTGATCATTAGTTATTTATCTTTAAAACGCTAGTTGAAAGGCATGAGTTGAATTCTGGTTGGGATACAGAGTGAATTTCTCGCAAACCATGCAAAAACTCTCAAACCACACTAACCATTTGCATGTTTCGTGAACTTTAACCACTTCTAATACTCATATTTTACTGTGATCTTATCAGCGTAAACTTGGAGGGAGCTGACTCCGATGACTGCATGATCGTATCACTCCTTCCAGTCTATACCGAAAGAAGTGTATTTTTTCTTTAGCCATCATTTATTGTTATGAATGTTTTTTCTGGTGCGCGAAATAAAATCTCTCTCTCTCTGTTGGCCTTCACGTTCATTTCACAGCAGAACCTTAACCTAGAATAAAATTTTGTATACACACAAGACAAATCATAGAATACCACAACAAATTAAAACCAAGGGGATAATCCAATATATCTCTACTGGTCGCCTAATTACAATAGGAGGTACAGGAGCTAAACTATACCGTCTACAACCCTCATAAGGTATTACACCGCCCAAATAGAAACAAAGACCATGCATGTGTGATGTTAAAAGTTGGTTCATCGGTTGATTCGTTTGAAAAAGGGATTATTGATAGCAAGCCGGGGAACGTCCGGTTTTCAGTAAATCGTTCAAGAATATAGCACATTGACGTTGACAAAGTCGTAAGAATTTATGTCTCACTGCAAATGTCGCCAAATCGCATTTCAAAAAATGTTGAAAGTTTTGGGAGGGGCCCATGGAATTTCGTTTCATCACATATAGTTGCATCATTGATTTAAGTGTATTTCACTATCTGTTGTTCGGAACAATTCAATTCGATCGTACAACTTTACACTATATGAAAATTTTGCATTACAATCCATTGCGTTCCTATTTGATCTCTGAGGGTATTCGGTTAATTCCACTAAAATACCTTTAAAGAGAATCAGAAGGAAGATTCAGATTATAGGGAGCATTAAACCTATACTTGCATAAGAAAATATTGGGCAACACCCTTCACACAAATAAAACAGCACTGTAATGATGCTAAGTTAACAGGAAATATCAATTCACTGAATAACAAAAATTTACAAGTAACACTCGTAATAAATTACGTAAAACAATGGAAGACGGTTTAGATCGCCAGCTAAAAAACAGCTAAATACATATTATTTATTTTTTACGCGATGCTCTTACTCTTCCGACTCTCCCCGTCATTTGTCAATACGTTCGCTTTTCATTGCCGTCATCGCCATCAATTACCGTTGTTCCCGTCATCGCCGCTTATTTAGAGAATTTCCCTTATACCCACTTGATTTTCAGTAAAATTTCCCAAAATATCACATAGTTCCTACTCATGAGTAATATTTTCCGTAATTTCCGCTTTTTAATACAATTTCTTGTACCTACACATTCAAGTGTATATTTCCCGTTGCTCTCGCCTTCTAGTACAATTTCCCGTACATACACAATAAAATGCCCATTTCCCCCATCTTAGAGCAATTTCCCGTCATTCCCACTTTGTGTGAAATTTCCCGCTATTAAGTGAAATTTCCCCTACATACACTCTAAAATGCATATTTTCCCTATCTGAGAGCAATTTCCCCTCTTTCCCGCATTTCGTAACATTCTCCCGCTTATTAGTAAATTTTCCCGTTTCCCGCATTTTAGGGCCCTGAATGTATAGGCCCTAATATGTATTTTAGAGTATGTGTGGGCTAAATTTTCACTCAAGGACGAAAGCAACGGCAAGTTTATACAGTGCTCTCAAGTATGTTCATCAAGATGGCGCACAACCTGAACCAAGTGTGTGTACCAGGTTAGAGCTCAGGTTGTGCGCCATTTTGTTGCAAATACTACCGAAGTGCCGTTTATTCTTAAGTGTGCATGTACGTAGTAATCGTACTATAATACATATTTCCTTTATCTTCGAGCGATTTTCCGTCATTCCCGCTTTTTGTAACATTTTCCCGCTTGTTATTAACTTTTCCCGTCATTCCCGTTTCCCGCATTTTAGGGCCCTAAAATGCGGGAACTGCGGGAACGACGGGAATTTGTCAATTTGAAATTGCGGGAACTACGGGAAATTTCACAAAAGACGGGAATGACGGGAATTTGCTTTAGGGTATGGGAAATGTGTATTTTAGAGTATGTGTGGGGTAAATATGCATTGAATAGCAAAAGCAACGACAAGTTTATAGGGTGCTCCCAAAGTATGTGCAACAAGATGACGCACAACCTGAACATAGTATGTATACCAGGTTAGAGTTCAAGTTGTGCCTCATCTTGTTGCACATACTTCCGGAGTGCCGTTTATACTTGAGTGTGCATGTACGGAGTAATTGTACTAACATACATATTATCCAAATACATATTATCCGAATCCGAATATTATTAGAATCTTTTAGTGAAATTTCCGTATCCACACAACCCAAGCGTATATTTCCCATTGCTTCCATTTTCTAGTGCAATTTCTTCTGAACATACTCTGAAATGAGTATTTCCCGTACTTTAACGCGATTTGCCGTCGTTCCCGCATTTTAGATAAATTTTCACGTACATACACCCACAAGCGTATATATACCATTGCTTTCGCTTTCTAGAACAATTTCCCCTAAACATACTCCAAAAGAAATATTTCCCGTACCTTGAAGCGATTTCCCGTCATTCCCGCTTTTTGTGAAATTTCCCGCTTTTTAGTGAAATTTCCCGTAGCTCCCGTCATTCCCGTAGTTCCCGCATTTTAGTTTTTGCAATTTCCCGTCGTTCCCGCATTTTAGTGCATTTCCCGTAGTTCCCGTCGTTCCCGTTTCCCGCATTTTAGGGTTGCCCGTTTTTTATACCTTTCTTTTTCTGTTTTGCATTGTAAAATTAACACATGAAAATAGATATAGTCTATGTTCAGCAAATATTGTTTTTTTCTGGATATTTTGAAATACATGTTTTTTTTTACAGCTGTTTCCAAGGACTTAAATCTAAACAATATCTACACTACACAAATTAATAATGATACTGGGTGAAACTATCCAACAACTAAAGGTCCTCATAATATTGTTCTGCATGCATCTTCATTTCACCCTTGAAAAAGTTGAATAAATTGAATTTTATATTAAGGTATCTTATCTTACACTAACATTTAAAGTTTTGGCAATGGACCTAGTTTGCAAGAAAACTTGTAAAAAGTTTCTTTGCCAACGACATGCAAAATTATTCACAATATTTTCTGTGCGATGTTACTCAAGAAATGTTGTCGTTACTGGAATAGGAATTGTATCTCCATTAGGATGTGGTACACAAAGAGTATGGGAGCGATTAATAAACGGTTCTTGTGGTATAACTAACCTCAAAGGTGAAGGATATGAAAGAATATCTTGCAAGGTGGCAGCTTACGTTCCTCGAAATGAATTTGATGAAAAACTTTATGTAGATCGCTCAAAATCTATGATGTCATCATATGCACTTGCTGCTTCAGATGAAGCTTTAAAAGATGCAAAGTGGAAGCCGACAACAGAGAAAGAACAATGGAACACGGGCGTTTCTATAGGTGTTGGGATGGTTGAGTTGGATTATGTTTGCGAAACCGGGAATAATTTACTTGTCAAAGGCCCAAGGTCTGTGTCGCCTCATTTTGTACCGAGGATATTATTGAACTTACCAGCTGGAGAGGTGGCAATGAGACATCACCTCAAAGGCCCAAGTCATTGTGTTTCTACTGCATGTGCTACTGGTGCTCATGCCATCGGTGATGCAATGAGGTTTATTGCCCATGGTGATTGTGATGTCATGGTTGCTGGGGCAACAGAGGCTTGTATTTCTCCACTTGGATTAGCAGGGTTCTCACAAATAAGAGCATTGGCTAAAAGCTTCAATGAATTTCCTGAAAAAGCCTCAAGACCTTTTGATGTAGATAGGGAAGGTTTTGTAATGGGAGAAGGTGCTGCAATGCTTGTTTTAGAAGAAGAAAGTCATGCATTAGCACGTCGCGCAAATATTTATTCAAGGCTTGCTGGTTATGGACTCTCAGGGGACGCTGAAAATATAGTGTTGCCTTCAGAAGGAGGCTCAGGTGCGAAACGAGCGATGGCAAGTGCAATTCAAGACTCTGGTTTCAGAGTGTTAGATATAACTTATATAAATGCGCATGCAACCTCAACTCCGCACGGAGATCGGACAGAAGCTGTTGCAATATCCACTTTATTTAAAAATCATATAAATAATTTAGCAGTCTCATCATCAAAGGGGGCGGTTGGACATTTGCTAGGAGCAGCTGGTGCAATTGAAGCTGCATTCACTGTTCTGGCTTGCCATCATTCTGTTCTTCCGCCAACACTAAACTTAGACAAGCTTGACCCTAATATTCATTTAGACTGTGTGCCATTGCAGTCGAGAAGTTGGAAAACTAATGGCCTAAGGGTGGCACTTAGTAACTCGTTTGGTTTCGGTGGGACCAATGCCGCACTCTGTTTTACTAGCGTATAGAATATTATTTAATTTGATATCCTCCTTTCAATTTTTTGCTAGAATATATTTGTTTATAAAAGTCATTGAGGACCTGCATATAAGCATCGAGGTCAATGCATCAGGAACAATCGATTGTGTGTCCCGTTTTGTCGTATAAAGAGCTGCCATCTTTATCCCGGTGTTATTTTGAAGCCATACTAGTTCTGCAAATATGCCATTTAACACTGCTGATATTCGAAATAGCATCCGGGGCATATCAGTGCTCCTGCTGCATTGCCACTGAGGTTTTAACACACACCATCGAACACATGAAACGATTACGAGTTTCAATTTTTAAAATTGACTTTCAAAATTATTATCATGAATTAAAATATAAGCTTATAAGGATAGGGTTATTGTTTGTATGAACTCTTAAAGGTGACTAAATAATTAGGTGGTTCGGTGCTAGAGCCACTGAAATTTCTGGAGAAACTATGCAAATGCCACACTGAAAAATGTCTTTCTCATTGTATAAATCTGGATCTGGGAAAATACATAATCCAACCCTAGTTAAGAAAAATCTTGGATTATGCAAGCCTTATAGACTTGAATAAAGACGCTTAGTAAACTGACTTGAGAGTTCTCGAAAATATACCAATCTAACACTGGTACTTTGTTTGGAACGTGGCAAGTAGACTCTAAATTGCGAAATTTGCACCATATACAACAGCCAACACTCTTGTAATTTGATTCTGTCGAAGAGAGACCTTTGAGCTTTAGCACAAAAAAATCTAAATGGCTTATACACTATGTGAAATGTTTCAACATTCTATTAACTCATAGATGTTCAGTTACTAGAAGTTGATTTTTCATGCGGATGGCTAAATTTGGGTCTCATATTTTACAGATCATAAGGCACACCATCAATTGCTCAGATTGGGGCTTTACCCATACATAAAAGGGCATTGGGCTATAGAATGATTTTGAAGAGTATGGGGTTACCGTACAAAGCTCATTAAACGAAAACAAAATTTTTTTATTCAAAGAAAATACAAACGGCGGTTGGTTCATGGTTTTGAGTGTAGGAAGTGAAGCACTCCCTAAACCAGGGGTTCCCAAGCTTTTTACAGGCCGACCCCAGATCAATATATATATTTTTAATGAAACTTCTCAAGCTTCTTTCACTAAACTCTTGAGTTTGGTCTTGTGGTGGTATTACGGTAAGTAAAATATGCTAAAACCAAACAATGATGTCACAATAAGCACCTACATTTTCTATAGCATAAGCAAAGAGCGTTGCCTATGGACCTGTTTTATAGTAAGCCATGTGTGACTGCTAATCTTAGATGTTTTGTACATCCATCCTCTCTCTACTATACCTCAGCGACCTTACCTACTTATCACTCCCACCCAATTTGGGGTCGCGACCCCTGGTTTAGAAACCCCTGCCATACATTAGCAGCACAATCGTTTTTGACAAAGAAGAAAAATATTTAAAGTCTGTCTTATTGTAAAATATGTTCCCAATGTCCCATTCTGTCTAACTCTACGAGTTCGAAGACTTAACAGCAATGACCATATACCTTCGAAACCTACGCCACGTCCACATTTTTTTTCATTTCACTATGTAGGATTGAATGCTTTTCTATAGCCTTGTTCAGAGAAAAATGTAACATGCATTGTCATTGTAATGCAGATTCATTTCAAGTTGTAGGAAAGTCGTCTTGAAAGCAATTGCAAAATTAAAACAAAGTGTTTTGACCACCCAGCATTGAATTTACCAGTTACACTGACCGGGCAAATTTGAATCTAGTTATCATCATCATGATTAGTGAATGCAACAGGCCATACTTGATTATCGGAGACACAGTCAATGAGAAAGGTTTTACTGTGAGTTTCATTGAACTAATTGGGGCTAATTTTTAGCGCTGCCTGACACATAGTTGACATGATAGTTTTGAAAAATATATTATAATTTATATCAAAGCTTTTGACCAGCTGCACTCTGGATGCAACAATGACATGGATGGTCAGTGACAGACGGTATTGAAAATATAACTTAAAAGCACATTGATAACACTGGGAAAAAATATTGGGGTGTTACTACACAGAACAACAGTTAAAAATTGCAAATGAAAAATATACCACAACATGTATCACTGTAAAATGAGAGTTTGCTGGCCTTTCAATTCAGTTACAAAAAATGACCACATTGTAAAAGTATTTTACAAAGCGAGATTTATTTTTTGTCAACCAGAAAAAAATGAGCATTGCAAGTTTGCAACAATAAAAAGATATACAACATAGGTAAAATTTTCCTTGATTTTAGAATTCTCCATATAAAAGTCTGCCTGTTGAAAATGATCGTTGATTCCAGTACGAATAAATTTGATGGCGATTTTTAGAAGCTTGTTTGCTTATAGTTCAGCTTCATAATCACTACAAATGAATTGAAAATAATTCCACGGTGTTTATTAAAAAGTAAAAAATGAATAAGTATAAAGGGCATATTATATCGCTTTATATCAGTGATACTCAAATTATTTAAGCTGCACCCCCGTTTAGATTTTGTCAAGTCTTGCGCCTTACCTTATTAAAAATACCTAGCTAACAATTAGCTACAAATAACAGATAGTAAGGCAAAAAGTATGTTTTTTTCAAAAAACATGTAGATGTTCAAAATAACTCAGGCAAAATCAAGTCTAACGAATATTTTTATTTTTCATCAGCTTCACGTCCGCTCAAAAATTGTCTACACCACCCTTGTGGGCGCGCCCCACCGTTTGAGAACCACTGCTTCATATGTATGATTTAGCAGTTCAAAAATAAAATAAACAACACAGATTTTTTCCATCTTATATGTTCAACTATCTGAATATGGTATTACTCAGAAAGCTAATGTAGAAGTAAATGCCTTTTAAGATGATGTCGTAGTGAAAAGCATTTACTGCAAACATCACATTTATGGGGTTTGAGATTTGTATGTGTGAGCATATGCCGTTTTAAATTGGCTGAACGTAGAAACTTTGATCCACACAATTCACACTCAAACTTTCTATCATTGGTGTGAGTTTCTTCATGAGATTTCACGTGACCGGCTTGGGTGAATTTTTTCCCACAAACTTCACATTCAAATTGCTTTATGTTAGAATGGATAAGCATGTGTCTTTTCACATCACTAGGTTTAGTAAAATTCTTTTGACATATTTCACATCTGTAGTCTTTAGCACCAGAGTGTGTTCGAATGTGAGACTTCAAATGCCAAGGCCAAAGAAATTTTCTTTTGCATATTTTACATTCATAATCTTTACTGTCGGTATGAGTATGAAAATGTCGTTTCAGTGCGGAATGTGTTTTGAACTTTCTCTGACAAACTTCGCAATTAAACTCCTTCAACTCCTTGTGAATTGATAAATGGTTTGTTAGCGCATTTATCTTGCTAAATTTTTTGCCACAAACATTGCATTTGTGTGCGGTTTTTACTTGATGAACAAGATAATGTTTATTCAGGTCAACTTTTCGGATAAATTTCATTTTGCATTGATGGCATTCATATGGTTTGGATTCTCCATGAAAAAGTATAAGATGTTGTTCCAAACTGGTACTAACACTGAATATCTTTCCACATTTTTTACATTGCCTATCAGAAGATTTGTCAATTGGAGTGAGAGACTGAGAGTTGATAACTTCGCTCAATGACTGTGGTGTTGATTTTCGTCCTCTTTTTCTTGTTTTTTTGTGGAATAAATTCTTGGTCAATGATTCCGCTATTTTGTCTACATTTTTGTAATTTTTTAATGGGCTTTGAACTTTCCTCTTTGTCGAATAGTCATTTTCCAATACTTCATATTCTTCTTTCACTAATTCATCATTCCCCACACTTGATTCTATCACTTCAATGCCTATTATTTGACCATCATCAGTTTCTGCCACAGAACCATCAACCTCTATTTCCACATATGTTTGGGGAAATTGTAAATCCAAGTCTATTGGTGAATCCATCATATCAGAATTCATATGACATAATACTGTAATACGATAACATTCTGTAAAAATAAGTTTCACTGAGAGTAATAATATACCTATATCAATATATCGTGCTCTGCTTTCACTGAAAGCCTTTCAGTAATATTTCAGCGGCCATTTGAGACTTTTCTCAGGCATTCAGGGGTGAGTATCACATATGCATCTCTTTCAGAAAAGAAACAGGCTCGGCAGTGTGGATCATTGTGCAAGTATACTTGCCACCTCCTGACCCCACTTCCAGGTTTGATTTCTGTGAAGATAATTATGTGCGAGAGGATTGCTGTTCTGGTTACCATCGTAACTCCAGAACTTGTAGATTGTCACTCGAGTCAGTAGGGTGGTTCACGTAACCACCGGTTGGTTACAGCTTCCTCCATCATCAAAATCAGAAACAAATAACTGATTAGGTACGGTAACTAATTCCCACAAGGTACCGGGTACCGGTATGCGACCCAAATTCTGAAATTGGTACCAGTACCGGTACCGGTAACCAGACGAGAGGGCGTGGTTCGCATATGATTAAAAGCTGTCTTATCGACTTTCTATTCCCAGAGATAAATATGTAAATCCTATCATTTTGAGTTAAAATACCCCTCTATTCAACTTTATTCGGATTAAAGTGTGGGGGTACGGTACGTACATTCTGAAATGGCAAGAACTTAAAAAAACTGCTAAAAGTTTCATTTATGTACTGGTACGGTACCAGTGGTACGTTACCGGTAAGGTACCGTAAATTGATTGATACCATTTCAGTACCGGTAACGGCAATGAAAACCTTTGCATGAAAGTACCGGTATCGAACAGGTACCGTACCGGTACCATACCCGGTAGCTTTCACGGAACAGCCTTAACTTAAGTCTGTAAGTTCGTAGGTAAAAAATTTGGAAACCGAATCAAGATAGTTCGATAGAATGATAAAGTTGAAAAAGTTATAGGTATCATCAATAAAACGTACTGGTACCGTTCGTTACAGAGTCTCTTTTATGATGAAAAATATGAAAAAAATAACAACGCAACGGAAGGCAGAACTTGTAAACACAGCAGAACTTGGCGCGATGTCGAGCATCAGCAGCGTGTATGTAAATTTATTGCGGTACAGGGTATCCGGTACCGAAAATAAATTACTTTGTGTGGAGGTCGAGCGCATGTAAATGTAATATACTAAGTTTTTTTTTTTTTAATTCTACTTATTGTTTTCTTTATCCGTATGCCATTGTCAAAAATGATTTCTAATAAATTTTACCTCCAGACAACAGAGTGCGACTTCGTCCACATCTGTTACAAAATTAGGGCGTCCACTAGCGGAATCGTTAGAACAATTTTATGTCCACTAGGGTTTCAGTAACCATACGATCGTTCCAACAATTTTATTGTATACTGGGGTTCCAATAACCGTACTACCGGTACCCTATCTTCTTGTGTTCATCTAAACTTTATATAAGAATGGTTATCAATATCACGGTCGTGATCTACTTTATTTTTTCTTATTGTACATATTTACGATTGTGCCCTGAGTAACTGTTCTATTATTTTATGAATACTTTTTCAATCAATAAGTTCCATGTTGCCAATGCCGTTCAAGAAAAACCATCATTTGACAATGGCCTGAATCGCCCCTAGTAGAAATTATGTTGAGAAATGTCACTTTTTGCATCATAGAAATTTAATGAATCCAACTTTAGTTTCATTAACATGCCTAACCATCCTATCCAGGAGTTCAAATCTTTTCCAGTCAAAGCTGGAACCTTTCAAACTCCAATTGTCTAGATTTTAGACTCTTGATGGTGATAAATATAATAAAAGTCAAAGAGCATTGAGCTGACGATACATTTTCTATAGACAATTATAGATGACCTTCATATGCCGAATCTTTTGTTATCAAAATTGGATTTTCTCAGTCGCAGCTGCAGTCTTTTGAAATTTTTTTTAAACTGGAGCGAGAATGTGAATATTATTTTAACAAAAAGTCAAAACTTGCTTGCAAAAAATACCAGTTTACTTTTGAATTAGTTGTCCTTCAATTCCATAGACTTAAGCCAGCGATGATACATCCTCTGCTTCGTCAATCCAAATATGGCTGAGAGTCACTCTGTCTAATTGTTTTAACTCGGGTTCTCAAACAGCGGGGACGGTTCAAGCAATTTTTTGATGGCGACGTGAAGTGAATAAAAATATTGCAGCTTGAAATGTTTGAGAACCGCTACGACGCAACATCATTAATCCCCTACACACTAACAGACCTTATATATTTACAAATAATGAACACATATGTACTCGAACGTATATTGTTACTATCAGTGATGAATACTATTATTACAAAGCACACTAATACTCATATCATGGAGTCACAAAAATGTAATTGGAGACAGTGAAAACTCAAAGTATAATTAAACAACACAGTAGTATAAGTATATACAATGAGTGCATTCCATGTACTTAATAATCATTGAAAAAATTGATTAAATATAATTTATCTGTACGATTACTGGATATAAATATGAATAAAACCTAAAAGATTTTGTCAAGTCGAATAACTGTCAGTCAAAACAATAAGTTTAAAAAATTTTGCTTATTTTAAGCTAGCCACAGTGATCACAGGTCAGTGCTAAAAAAATATGAATAAACTATTTTAGATTCCTGATTTGTTTAGTATTTATTTTTTGCCGACGTCTGTGACGATCAGCAGGATTTATTGTCATTGTGCTTTCAAGGCTTGGAAAAGAAGCCTCCATGTCTGTAAGACTGGCACTCTTGACAGATTTTCTGATGGACGGCCTCACTGGAATCCTGGGCAGTCGTGTATCTGAGAACGACTCCTTTTCAGTTGAACTGTACATCTTCATTACCGGCGAATCGAGTGTTATGGAGCTTCGTGGTGTCATACTTCGACGATCTGCGCGCAGTTGAGAAAGCTCCTGCAGTTGCTGGCAATTTATTTCATGTAGTTGTTGAATGATGAATTCACACTCAGCTTTTGAAGGCAGACGTGGTGCGTCCGATATGTTGTCTCGTATTTGAAGAGGATTTAGGGTGGCATTGAGGGGCAATGGTGTTGACAAATTACTGACGGAGTATTTCCTACGATGTCGTCTGCTTAATTCAGCATTTTGTAAGTCAGTTGTAGTTTCGAGTCCAGTTGTTTTATTCGATTCGAGCTTATGAATCATTTTTTGCATTCCATTATTTTTCAAACTTGCCTCTTTTAATGCTTGTTTCAAATCTTTAATTTCCTCTTGCAAAAGAAGGGTTTTGATATCGGCAGGAGCTGTATTGGAATACGACTGTATAGTTTCATCTGAATTTTGAGAAGATGAAATACCTTTTTGAGTCGACACAATTTTTAACTGTAAAGCTTTGTTATCTCTTTTTAGCATTTCGAGCTCTGCATGTAATTTTGATAAAGTCTCAGAATGTTGTTGTTGCAAAAATTTGATGCTTTTATCTTGACTTAATAAATGGTGTTGAACATTAGAAGTCATTTTTTCGAGAAATTGGACGTCAACGTTGCTCAAGCTCGTGTTGAAATCAGCAGTCTCGTCGCCATTAGGTGGCAGTGGAATCCTGTCTCGCAAAAATGGCTTTGGATATCGTGATCTATCGAATGTAGAGACTCGAGACCAGGATGGTAAATTTCTTGGTGGCGGCAAGGCAGAGGATGACATGATTTTAATATTTATACCTAAAATTATCTGAAATTGAGAAAATATTTAGTTTGGTATTGTTACTGTTTATTCAAGGGGCTTGAATGACTGCGATATGCAAAATTTTGCATGCCTATAAAAAACTAAATAATCTGGATGGAAGGATGAAGTAGATAGCTCTTTCAACTAGATATATGAAATAACCGTTAGTGATTGGATTTTGAAAATAATAAATACCAGTCATAGCAATGTAACTCATAGTTTTTTTGACACAACTCCTTATGAATGACACTATGCTTTTCATCTACCCTTAAAAAAAAAAGTATTTGGCCAACATCCCCAGGTCTCAAACTTTGCATTGCAGTGCGTCCTTTCAACTTTCCAATGGCAACAATTTCATTGGTAGAAATATTGAATTGAGCAAATAGTATTATCTTACAAACAACAGTGATTGCAGCTAATAGAATTCAGGTTGCGCTTGGATTCATGTTGTTGCATTCAAATTTGATCATTAATATATAATGCAACTGAGATGACTTAAAATCACATTCACAGCATGATAGGCCTATAGAATAAGTTTTCCTTGTTGTACTATAAATGTAAAGACTTCCCGTTATCGCTACTATTATTGATCACTAATAAATGCAGGTAGTGATTTAAAAAATTTGATAAACTTTGCAAAATAAGCAGGCAAATATATACTAAATAAACCGAATACTTTTGATGTTACATCGAGTGTTTCTATGCTGTCATATATTTTCATTGTTGCGTCCCATGAGCAAAAAGCATTCTCAAGAGCATTGGTTCCCAACCTTCTTTCATGCAACCTGAATTTTTTTATAAATAAATTTTGTTTGGTCTCTCGGCCTAAGAATATGCTCAAATATTAAACAACATGTACTGCTTTTATGGTCGTAAAATTAAATTACTTAGAATTTAAAACAATCATTTTTACATAAACCAATGTTTTCCCAGAAATCACTTCAACGTGAGAGAGCTACGCTGGTTTGCCATCAACGAGTTTTTGATATAGTGGCGTAGCTTTAAGCAATATAGATGCTGACAAGTTTTAGATACTTACAAAGTATTACTATTGAGCAACACTTCAATACAAAATAATGAATAAAATGTACCAGAAAGTAAAATCAAAAACTTCTAAGTTTGCGGTGAAAACACAATCTACCCAAATAAATTTTCAGGCAACCCTGAATGATGCTATAGGTTGGGGAACACTGCCTCAAGGCATGGAGTGGAAGTGGTGACTCCTCTGCCGCCCATGGGCCGGGGCCACGGCCCATCGAATTGGGCCTCGGCCCATCAGGCTATGGGCCGCGGCCCATCAAGTTGTGTAAAGGGACTATTCACTTGGCTAACACAGACAGTCCCAGAACTCATAATAGAACTATAATGTAAAAAATCTGAATTTTTTTTGTCCTAACCCTAACCTGGTACACATACTACAGGAGTATATTTTTTTGTTCGAATATTGACAGTTTTGTAAAAATTGAAAATTTTGGTAAGATAATTGAAATTTTCCTGATGGGGCCGCGGCCCATAGCTTGATGGGCCACGACCCATGTGGCCCAATTAGATGGGCCGTGGCCCCGGCCCATGGGCCGTAGAGGAGTCACCACTCCTGTAGAAGGCATGGCAGCAAAAACAATTTTAGAAAGAAACACTCAGTCATAGGGTAATATGTAAAACAATTATGCAATTACAAAAATAAGTGATAAATCGACAACAATATTCTAATAACTTATATTTTGGGTTAAGATATACTGACCTGGCTTCCTTCAATAATTTTAACATTAGCTGTATAGAGGAATTTTACCGTTATTCATACCTACACATCAAAATTACCGTACTACCGTAATGAACTATGGAGCTTAGTTCAGTCGTTACCGGTACGGCATTCTGGTATTGTCAGGTCGGACAGTATGAAAGTACCGGTACCAATACGGTACCGGTACTGCAAGGCTCCCGGTTGTAATGATACCAATAACTTTACATCCCATACTGCCATACCTTTTTGGCAAAAAAACTTTTTGAGTAGAAGTAAACATTGTCTAATCAAGATCACATGGTAAGCGCAAACGAAAACGTTATAGAATTGTCTAGGTGCGGCGGTGTGGCTCAACGGGCTAGGCGTTAGGAATATCTACGCTCGCCACCGCACCTCTAATTACTCTGCGTGGGTTCGCAGGTTCGAATCCCATGCAGGGATGGTTATGTGGGAGAGGATTGCTGGACTCCTCGCCGTCGTTGGGTGGTTCACGTAACCGCTGGTCGGTTACGGGTTCCTCCACCATCAAGTCCATGCTTCCGAAAACAAACAATATATATATAACTAATCCCATACCGGTACCCGACTTGGAATGGTACGGTACCGGTACCGTTAACCGGACGAGAGGCCGTGGTTCGCCATATGTATAAGCCGACTTATGGGCTTTCCTCTCTCCCGGGATAAATATGTAAATCCTATCCTATCCAAAATCATATCGAAAGAATAACGTAAATATCCGCGAATAGGCACCTGTTACAGCAGCGAGTGAAAAGCGCAAAGCAGGCGGCGATGCTTTGTTTGTCGTCATCTGGTCTCGACATTGATTGACGTATTAAAACGAGCGGTTGTCGTCAAGCACGCACGCATTATCTGGAACGTCAGCTGCACATGAGTTTTTGGAATTTATGGTAAGTTTGTCATTGAGTAATGAGAACAATGACAAAATTTTGTTGTATTCATTTTTGAACATTTGTTGAATATCGTACAAAATTTTATATATACTGAAGAACCAGGAATGTAACCTTTTACCCTAGCAACTCTCAGCCCCGCAATTTCTCGCTGTAGCGACATTTACGAGGCAAATCTACGAACAGTACTTTTCCGCGAAGATATTTTTTCGCGACAACTTGCTTAGGAGCATAGCGAAGAGGTACTAATGATACGTCTGTGATAGGCTAAATATTAGGTTATTAATATTAGAAACTGTGGATCGTGCACAATTGCACTGTGGTCGGTTCCGACATAAAATGGTAACCGGACGAGAGACCGTAAAACGTCATATGAATATGCCGTGTTATCGGCTTTGGTTTCCCTTCGAATGAATATGAAAATCTCATCCAATTCCATGAACACCAACACGAAGTTGCGACCTGTACTCCTGTGCTTACACACTTGTCCCCCATGACCCCAATTTGTTGTAAATTCGACCCTATGTATGGTGAACTGCCAAGGCTTACTGTTGAAATAAATACTCGTTCTTTCTGTCAGATCGAACAATATTGTCTCAAACTAGGTCACGTGAGATTTACTAGCTGAAATACCTGAACATTGAACTAGGGCAGCGGTTCCCAACCTTTCTACCCTGGCGGACCGGTAAAATTAGATTAAATGTACTCGCGGACCGGCAAAAATTGAAATGGCCGTAACAGAAAAGAATAACATATATTTGCGTCTTATAATGCAATGTCGGGCACTCAATATGCTTCTAGACAAAAAAGCACACTTTAAAACATTTCACACGAAGAATAACTATCAAATAATGTGCCGACCAAAAATTACAAATGAGTGAAACATAAAATAATACCATATATTTGCGTAATGAAATGCAGTGCTGGGCACCCATTATGCGTGAGAAAGGCACGCATTAAATTCTCACATTAAAATAATGCACAATTAACTCTGTGAGAATTTTGCTGCTGTTTCGTTTCCAATACAAGATTGCGAACGAGGCAAAGAAGTTTTTGCAACACGTAGCTCTGCAGCCGCGTGCAGCCGATTTCCTTGCCTCGTTTTAATCAAAGTGAGGTTTTAATTGAATCGAGTGATGAGAATGTTTTTTCGCATAACGCAGTAACTGGCTGAAAAGACGGACCACAGTTTGATTGCTCGATTACTTGGCGATGGGTATTCGCTATCAAGAGATATCTAAAATTGTGATAAGTAATTCTTTTTCAATCTGGACTGTAAAGAAGAATCACAATTTTAATCAAGCCTTTTCTTTTTCATTGGGTTCATAATATTAATCCCTCTGCAGTTAATCGACGCCTCAAACGGAATGAATTTGCATTACAATGACAAAGTCGTCGATAACTTGGCGACAAGCTCAAAATCCTACTGTGTCTGGAAAAGATCTCTGCGGCTCATGCTTTTTTTTGCGTTTATCGCGTGACCACCTGTGGGGTCGCAACAAGTTCATATCTTACTGGATTATTATACTGTTCTTGACTGTTTTCTAGTTTAAACAAGGAGATATCCATTACGTTTCATATGAATGGTCATATTAATCAGGAAAAGCACGCAGAACAGAAAAGGCACGCGTGCCGATTTTTAGGCTTCTTAATTTTGCAAGATTTGATGGAGCGCATTCGCGATGAATCGGAGCTGGAAAAGCGAAAAGTGTGAGTGATCGGCGCCAAGATGTCGCGTAATACGGCGCCAACATGTCGCGAAAGACGTCGTAATATGACGGCAGAAGAGAACTGCGTAATGAGCCAACGCAACTTTGTCTACGGTAAAGCGATTGAAACGGCATAAAAACAACAAGACAACAAAATTTCTTGCGGACCGGCAAAAAAGTTTCGCGGACCGGCGGTTGGGAACCACTGAACTAGGGGTATGCAACCTTAAGTACAGGAGGGTCAGATAGAAATAACTGGGTGAAACCGCGGGTCACACCTTCCATGGGTCACCAACCTTTTCGAAGCCGAGAGCTACTTCTTGGGTACAGATTAAGCTGCGGGCTACCAGTTCAATGTACACTTCTAAAAAAGTCAGTTGCTCGATTAAGCTTCAATTATTGATATAATTACTGGTATTTAGTGAAGTATAGACACTAATAAACTTTAGGATTCTCCAGGAAATCAAACGCATATCACAACGTTGCAAATAAATTTCTATCAATAAAACTTGTATTTCAAAACTGAGTGTTTTTAAGTTGATTTTCAACAATCTGCACAAGTCTAAGATAAAATGGACTATCAAATGTACTATCAAATGTTGCAGAGTATTATACTCCGACGTGTAACTTGACACTGTAACTCTGAGCGAGTCTTGCAGATTTTCATCAGTGAGGCGTGTTTCATCAGTGTGGGTGGTTCACGTAACCGCTGGTCGGTTGAGGCTTCCTTCGCCATCAAGTTCATGCTTCCGGAAACAAATAACTAACTAATCCCATACCCGACATCGAATGGTAACCGGCGAGAAACCGTGGTTTGTCATATCTTTAAACCGTCCTATCGGCTATCTTCTCCCCCGGGATAAATATGTAAATCTCCTCCTATCCTGAGTTTATGTCAAAAATGTTTATTCGAAAGGATAGGTTGAAACAAACGATGGTCTTGTAAAATGGGATTGCTGTATGATCTGACTCGCGAGCTTTTTCTGACCGTACTGTGCTGACCAGTGGGTAGTTAGCGTGACAAGATGTGAAATATCTCTCCACTTTGCCGTCGCTGAAATCGCCCCACTATTGAGACACACGCAGGCTGTTTTCATGGTGGTAAAAATATATCCACCTCCCATTCATTGTGAAAATGATGGATTTTTGTTTGGAATCATTAATTGTATACTGCTCCGCTAACCAACGGACAAGAAAAAGCGTGGGTTCGTGGAAAGTGATCTCGGTGTGATGTCATAATTGGAAGAGTGTTAATTGACCCGTCACATTACCGAGGTCAAATAAAAATAAGGTTGATGGTTACAATGGTTCCATTACATTTGAACCCACGTACATTTGAACCCATGGCAATTGCACCAGTATGCTATTGCACCTAAGAAATTTTTTCTGTGTTTCGGATAGTTGAACCCACACTAACCCTAACCCATGGGTTTTAGCACCCGCATATAGATTGAACCCGTGGATATACACATGGGTTCAAATGTACGTGGGTTCAAATGTACGGTCACCGGTTACAATAAATATTATAGTGTCCTTTCTAGTTCCCATATAAGTGTGATTTATACTAAAATGGCAGGACGAAATTTAATTGATGTAGCTCACTTATAAGAGCCGTTATTAAGCTTAGTTTGGAACAGACCTGCGGGCGACTCATATGGTCTTCGCGGGCGACTTGGCGCCCGCGGGCAACGCGTTGGTGACCGCTGACTTAGGCTATCTAGTAGTTGCAGGCGCAAAAATTTTGGTCATTATTCTTGTGACATGCGTTAATTGTACAAGCTAGCTGTTAATAGATTGTAAAGTCATAGGCATAGACAGTGATGAGCTGGAAAAACCGTAACAACCGGAATGCACCTAATTTGTGTATGCAAAATATATTTACAACACGACGAGGACGCTGCCAGAAATTTTTGTCTGTCCCAAGATAGAGCCGAAGAACTACAATGAAATATGAATTCATTATCTGAAATATGTCTGTTTATATTTACAAGAATATTCGTACCAATTCAATACAAATGTTATTATTAGAATGTAACAGGATAAATTTTCACGGGGTCACAGGTCGGCAAAAATCCACTACATGTTACTGCTGTACTAACTAATTGTTTGCCGTAATGTAAAAAAAATTATAACGTAACAAAACGTAAGTTAATATCTAAGTTTAGAAAACTTGGTTAAGAGAAACTAGAATTTTCTATGACAAAATTTTATTTCAACAACAGGAACGCAAATAAAATAAAATATCCACAGCCGGAACTCCGTTCCGGTGCGTTCCGGCTACAGCTCATCACTGGGCATAGATAATAAATTAGACTCAGGTATGGGCAACGCTGAGGTATTGAAATTACTTGCACATGAAAAATATAAATTTGTGTCAAAGATGCTATAATGTAAATGCTATTGTAAATAACGACTATATGAATG